TCCCACATACAGACCGGTTCCCGCTCACTGGCTGAGCGAGGTGCGGGCGCAGCGCCGAGGGTTGCAATCCCATTGCCGGTCCCGGTCCGGTACGGGCGCGACACTGAGGGTTGTGATCCGTTGCCGGACACGAAAAAAGACAAAAAAAACAAAAACAAAAACGGGGCCCTTGAAAATGTGAATTTTAGCATAGGGGTCTGATTTAACCAAGGTTATCCTAAAGATGTTCAGAAAAAGAGAAGGTAGAACAAAACTCCTGGCTTCTAATTAAAACCTGTCTTCTCAGAAGATGAACCAAATATCTGCCTTGCCATCTTCTCAACAACCTATCTATTCTGCAAAACAGTGTAAGGAAATATGTGGAATGTCCAGTCCGACATACTTATTCATTGGTCTGATGTTTGTCAGAGTATGACCTTGGGCATGCTACTTAACCTTTCTGATATACCTAAGTTACCAAATAGCTAACAAGAACTCACAGCATCAAAAACTCTCTTACACATTTTAAAACACCATAATATTGATACAAGAGGCGCTCAGGTTCCTTGGGCTCAATAAAACTCCTGGCTTCTAATTAAAACCTGTCTTCTCAGAAGATGAACCAAATATCTGCCTTGCCATCTTCTCAACAACCTATTTATTCTGCAAAACAGTGTAAGGAAATATGTGGAATGTCCAGTCCGACATACTTATTCATTGGTCTGATGTTTGTCAGAGTATGACCTTGGGCATGCTACTTAACCTTTCTGATATACCTAAGTTACCAAATAGCTAACAAGAACTCACAGCATCAAAAACTCTCTTACACATTTTAAAACACCATAATATTGATACAAGAGGCGCTCAGGTTCCTTGGGCTCAAGTTTCAGGACATGCCTCTGGGTTTCCAGCCACTCCCTGAGGTCTCAGACCCCCTCCTCTGAGCTCTCCCCTAGAAGAAAGTTACCTTTTCCAGTGATACCAACAAGAAGGAAGTGAGACAACAAGGGTCTGGCTTACGTAAATCCGGTGGCTGGGCATGCTCAATAGAAAGCACACAATATTCTTGAATATGCCTGGTGCATGTGATAGGGACTGACCAATGAACATACTACAGAGAGGGACCAACCGAGCAGGTGTAAGACTAAATGTTACATAACTGGGACCCACCCCTTTAATTGAATATTCATTAGACAAAGAAACTATAAAAGCCAAATCCCATCTGAAGGCAGGGTTGTTGCTCACTTACGTGGAGGGTAAGACTAAATGTTACATAACTGGGACCCACCCCTTTAATTGAATATTCATTAGACAAAGAAACTATAAAAGCCAAATCCCATCTGAAGGCAGGGTTGTTGCTCACTTACCTGGAGGTAACCTGCAATTAGCTGGCTGAAGCGTGTATGCTTTACTTTGTATCAAACTTACCTTCAGCAAGCAGCTGCTCATTCTCTGGAGCCAGCCTGCACTTTGTACTGAACTTTAAGTATGCTTTCTTGCTTTTGTGTTAGACTTGATGGCTGTACTGAGCTTACTTTTATGTTAAACTTGGTGTGAGCCCTGCTCAGTCTCTGGAGCATGCTGCACTCTCTCTGTGGAACCTGTATTTCTTATCTGTTATATTAAACTTGTTCTCAATTTCTACTGTGACTCTGCCCCTGATTTTTTTCCTGTGGCAGAGTCAAGAAACTGGTAAGAGAACTGGGTAGGTTGAGGCCGAATATTGGCCCCCCTGGACTCTACTTCTGACATCAATATGACTGGGTGTTCTGTGGGTTTTCTCTACAGAAGAAACTAGGCTATTTCAGGTAACAAGAAGAGACTAAGATATATAATTCAGAATTTAATAAATATTTATTAATTCATTGGTTTTTGAGTTTCCAAAACTGCTTAGATATTTTTAATTGTGCCAATTTATTCTCTAGAAATAAAACAACCTCTATTTCAAATGCTTTAAAACTAAGTGGCCTGTTAAACTTAATAATAATGTGGAATTTTTTTGTGATTCGAATGATTTCCAATGGTAAAATGAATTAAATTTCAACACAAGCACAACCATGTGTAAAGAACAATAGTCAGTGTCAGGGCAGTAAGGATTAAAAAACAAAGACAGGGCCGGCCTGTGGCTCACCTGGGAGAGTGTGGTGCTGATAACACCAAGGCCACAGGTTCAGATCCCTATATAGGGATGGCCGGTTAGCTCACTTGGGAGAGCGTGGTGCTGACGACACCAAGTCAAGGGTTAAGATCCCCTTACCGGTCATCATTTAAAAAAAAAAAAAAACAAGAACAATTTCCTCCAAGGAATTCATTGACTTGTGTATGGAGACGGGGGAGAAGAGGGAGACAGACTTCCCAATAAGTATAAATAAGCAGAAGAGAAGGGGACCCTGAGATCTCACCTATGATACCCTCCCTACCCAACCTTCCCTACTCCTTGTACCCCCATGATCAATATCCCATGAGGTTCTAAAGATGACTGAAGATGGGTTTTGGCCCATCCATGAGT